TCCCCTCAGTCTCTGGGCGGTCGCTGAACTGAAGTAAGCACAGTTCTTTTGACAGCGCGTGCTTGAAACGGCTGTCAGGTCTGATGTTATGGAGGATGATCCGGGTGCGTTTGTGATCCAATCCCTGTGGCATTCGCGATAGGTCTCGAGTGATCGTGTCAGCATCGCTTCTCGCCGAGGTCCGATTGCTGCCCCTCGGCGCTGGGTTCCGTCTCTCCTGCTGTCCTACTGTGCCAGTATTATATGGAAAGCGACGATGCTTTGACACTGTAATCTGTGCTCGTCCAGTAATGCTGCGAATCTATCCCCAAGCCGTGCTTGCTCTCAGGGGTTCATACTTCACATTCTGCTGCAATTTGTTGAGCACTTCAGTTTCTCGGCTGGTGCCCGCCCGTGGGCGCCTCGTGGGCGCCTCGTGTTTAGGGGCTCTGCCCAGGCTTCGCCTGTGGCCCGCCCGCTGCCGCCGCGGGGGCGCCCCTCGCCGTGGGGTGTGCAGAGGGTTTTCGCCCCGGGGCCCGCCCGCGGGCGCTCCGTGGGCGCGTCGTGGGCGCCGGCGTGCTCGGGGGCATGCCCGGTGTGCACGTGCTGCCCGCATGTCATGTGGGCGCCGCGTGGGCACGCCGAGCGGGGGGGCGCGGGGGGGGGGGGGTGCCGTGGGCGCGCCCAGCGCGGGGGGGGTGGGGCTGGCAGCCGCCCCCCCGGAGGAAACTCCAGAAGGCGTTCGCAGCCAGGATCGGCAAGACGAACTGCGACTCATTGCTGGGCGCCCTGGAGCCCGAGGCGCGGGCGGCCTGCATGCTTCTGGGTGGCAGAGCGCCTCGCCTTGGCAGGCCAGGGAGCGGCTCGACGACGCCAAGTACCGGGGCACCGCCCGCGCGCTGCTGGGCCAGGACGCGGCGCCGCCATGCGCCACCTGCTGAGGTTACGCCTGTTGCCCGCCCATGGGCGCCTCGTGGGTGCCCAGCGCTGGGGGGATATGCCGAGGGTTCGCATGGTGCCCGCCCATGGGTGCTTCGTGGGCGCCCCAGTAGCTTGCACCACGTCGATTCCTCCGTTTGAAGAGTTGTCTTGGCACACCTTCTGTCGAAGCCCGGACCTATCATTTTCCCTCTGCCTTGTATGTTGACATATCGACCGTGCACGACCGCTCATCTTATATAGCAGTCTGTATCATGCCAGCCAAACCGGTATTAGTACCCTTGACATGTTTGTCAAGTGATACCATGCGTGCACACGCGTTTGGCTGAGAAGATCCGGTTGCGCGAAGCCTGTGGGAACAACATACCAATGTCCACACGCGCACGCACATGTCGAATTTGCATTATTCGCCAGAGTGTTGCGAACATTCCGACAGAAATTCTGGAAACGTCAAATTCATTTGCATCATAATTCGTCTAGGGTTTCTGCCCGCGCGCACTTGATGCAATCCCGACCAGACCACGCATAAACATCTCACCACGCGGTGTACCCGCAGTTGTTTCTTATGCGTCCAGTGCAAGAAGCCTTCTCGCATTATATCATGCGCGCCACATGCCCGCGCCCACACGCACACGTGTCGAAATGTTTCAACACTATTGGCGTTCGAAACACTTCAATATACAGCTATCAAGCATAAAAACACATATGTCGTTCAAGCAACCTGTTGTAGATTTACTTGCAATCCTGCGCGCGCATGTCCCAAAAACCCTCATCTGCGCCATTGCATTGCCGCTGTGATCGTCATCGTCAATCGCCCCCTTTGCCGTCAGCATCATCAAAATGGCATTTATGAGTTGCACATAAACATCAGCAGCACCATTGTTAGAGTCGTCACCAGCACCGGAATCATCATCATTGGTCTTGCCCTCGTCAGCATGATCACCACCACCGTCACCAGCATCACCATCATCATCAGCAAAAGTATCGTTTTCATCATCAACATCGCCACCACCATCGGTAATATCATCACCGTTGTTAACGTTATCATGGTATCGTGCCCGCTCGAGTCACCGATCCCCGTTGAGGCGCCCGCGCTCCAGCCCGGCCATGACGCGCTGGAAAGTTCCCACCGGTTAGCGTTCTTGTGGACGCATCAGTTGTGCCAAACCAGTTGGCCGCACTGCGTGCGAGCGTGCGCGCACCAGCGCGTCCGTAGAGACGCGCTAGCAAGTTTTAGCCAGGAGCCATTATTGTGGCCGCACGGGCTTTGCCGAACAAGTTGCGGGTTGTAGGGAGGGGTGTTTGCGCGAGCGTTGGAGTTGGTGTGAATTGCGAAAGTAGGCGCGCTACGCAGATTGCACGACATAGCGTCCACCAAAAAGCTTGCACGGCACAGCTTACACCGCGCAGCTTGCACCACATAGCTTGCACCACGTTGCTTGCACCACCTAGCCTGCACAACGAACGAATCACGACATTGATTGGAAAACACGTTTTGCGCCGCATGGTCCCCACATAATTTGCACCATGTAGCCTGCATCGCACAAATGCGCAATATGGTTTTTACATCCACGGTGCCAGAATTTCTTGTCTTGGGTCTTCGCGGGCGAACAGTTCAAACATGGATTCACCTCTATGTGTTCCGCCTAGTGTTGCATACCACGACTGGCGCATTGTTTTGCTGCACGCAAACGGCTCGTTTGACCTCGAACGCAGCGTTGGCGTACACTGCGTCATCGGACGCATCTTTTGACAGAGGGGCGCTTGGTTGTGAGAGGGGGGATGGAGAGAGAGAGAGAGAGACAGAGACAGAGACAGAGACAGAGACAGAGAGAGAGAGAGACAGAGAAACACATCAAAAAGAGGAGACACGGATGGGATTATCCATATCCGCAGAAAGAGACAGAGAAACATATAGAACACAGCAACACATCAATGAGCAAGGTCGCGCTGACGAGGCGTAGCCGCGTGGCTGTAATCGTCCTTACCAGGTCTGTTGTGCGATGCGGGTGTGTCTTTCAGGATCGTGGGCTCATCCGGATGTGACTTGAATGCGGGACCAGCCAAGAGGAGGCGGAGGAGGTGGAGGAGAAGGATTGTCATCATGGGGGCAACAATGACTGGCCTTGGATGCCTGGACGATCCCGCCTGGCATGGCCTGCTTAGCTTGAGCACTCTCGGGGTCTACCCACACCCTCTTGAGAGCCATTGGGATTATGAACGGACTGCTGTTCGGGTGCCTCCAGGGCGGGCATCCCGTGATTGTCAAGGGAGGAGGGCGTGGAGGAGGAAGAGGAGACGAAGGAGGACGAGCAAGAGGTGGTGGAAGAGCGGGGAGGATGAGGAGGCGCGTTGCAGGAGAAGAGAGGTGGATGAGGGAGGAGGAGGCGGAATGGAGTGGAAGACGTGTCCCAGGGGAATATGTACACAGCCTGATTGAGCCGAAGATGGGCGTGTGAGGGCTTAGGGGCCGGCGGTTACGTTCCCAGTCCCTGGCCCTCATCCTGGAAAGTTTCGCCGCTGCGCTCCAGCTCAACGAACGGATCAATAAGGGCGAGTGGGGCTTGCCAGGAGGGGAAAAAGCACACAGACACAAGCAACCGTCGATTGCCAGGAAAGTATGGGAAAATAGGGAAAGTGGGGGGAGGGCGAACGCCCAGAAAATATTTGAACCTAAGGGGAATCCATGGAATCGTGTCCATTTATGTGTGTGTGTGTGTGTGTGTGTGTCCCTGGGCCTCCTCAGTTTGGGCCCTGTTGAGCAGGCCGCCAGCTCAGGCTTTTACCTCACGCCCTGTGCGGCTGCGCGGGGCCGGGCCGTGCAGTGCCGTGTCGCCCGTCTGGCACCGGCGATTTGCTTGCCGTCGCGATGCAGGTCGGGGGTGGACAGACCTCCTACCCTGACACGTCGTTTAAGGAATTGGCCGTTTTCGGTTCGCGAGAGGGCGTCGGGCCGTCATTTTTGCGGGTCCAGGTCCGTCGGTTTCGGTCCCAGGCCGAATTCACTAAGGTGAGGTCTACTAAAGGGAGGTTTGTCCACCGCCGAGCAGGGCCGCGCCGCTCGGAAACGGCCAGCCAGCGGCGCGCGAGGGGGGAGAGCGAGGAGGAGAAGGCCTTCTCTAGGGGCCACATGCGAACCCTACCCCTACCCCCCACGATTTCTGAGGGTGAGGGTGGGGTTCACTTCGCTCGGAAGCTCCCGCACGTCGTGAACCCCACCCTCCCCCTCAGAAATCGTGGGGGGTAGGGGTAGGGTTCGCATGTGGCCGCCTAGAGCAGTCGGCGAGACTTCTCAGAAGCTCTCGCGCCTGCTGCGAAGTTTTTTTTTTTATCTCTCTCTCTCTCTCTCTCTCTGTGTTTCGGGGAAGGCGTGGAGAAGGCCTCGGAAGGCCGGGGGGACTGCCGCGCCCTCTGGGAAGGCCCGCCCCTGCGCACCTCCCCCCCTCGGGCTCGCCGCCGGGCTAGTGCACGCTGCCGGCGCACGTCTCGGGGGCGGTCGCACGGCCGCACAGTGAGCCAATGGCCATTGGCTACCAGCCTCGAACGTATCCCTATCCCTAAGATTGACACGCCAAAAGGCGATGACAATCTTAGGGATTCGCCCTCAAAAAATAAGGGAATCCCTAAGATTGGCATCGTGATGAGGAGATGCGAAGCAGAAGGATAGGGATATGTTCCAGGCTGGTAAATTGGCCCATGCCAGAGTCATCTCGGAGACCTTGGCAGTAGGATCATCGAGAATGAAAGGGCCCTTGAGTTATGATGTTCCAGCCCACTTTAGCCTCGACCACCAGAAAGAATTTCCGGCACCAAGAAAGTACCGAAACGGGAGGGTTTTCACGCGCTGGGCCTTGGAAGGCGATACTCGTTCGACACTGTTTCGATACTTGGCTGAGTGCTCGAAGTTATTTTTGGGATGTGGTCCCTTAAGTACAGTGGGAGCAACATAACCCCTGATCCAATTCACAAAATGAAGCCGTGGCCTCACTGAGGTCCCCGTCTTTGCACTAGGGCGTCACTAGGGGTAGTCGATCTGGGGGGTCTGGTTCGATACATCTGCAGACAAGAGCCCCTATCCCTAATGTCTTTGGCCCTCCTAACTTCGGTCCCCTCCCAAAGGGTTAGGAGTCCTTTTAGGAGGCAGATGCCCCGGCAGTTTCGTCACAAGGCCTGAGCACACTCGGTCTGTTGCACGCTTGCCTGCGTCGGCGCATCCAGAAGGAGTCCCACCGATCTGGAAGCAGGATGCACGGCAGCGGAGGAAGGATTTGTGTCAGCGCGGAGAAGCGCATTTGGTGACAGCGGGTAGCATTTCTGTTCGAGCACCACATGGCAAGCAAGCACCGAGTGCATTACCAAGGTGACGATGATCAGAAGAAGAAGCGCACCTTCAAGAAGTATTCTTTCCGTGGGATTGACCTCGACAAGCTGTTGGACCTTAGCAATCAGGACTTCGCACTCCCCCTGCCGTAGCTCACGGCATACGCTCCCCCCGCCAGTTGATGGCAAGGCCGATCACTTAGCACAGGTTGTACGGATTCTTGAAAGGTCGATCGTGGCTTTCATGTCGGTTTACTCGTGATGTTGAGCAGAACCATCACACCATGTTTCGTAAGGCCCGTTGCTGGTGCCATGCCAACCTTGGCTATTGGCGTTGTACTTCCTGGCGGTTCTGCTGAGGACAGCATGCTACGTCTTGAGACAAGAAGACTGATACATGTTGGACATGCCGATTCAACGTGGCCAAGCAACTGCTCTCGGCATAGCTACTTCCCCTCACGTTGCACATGCCCATCCCGCGCTTCCTTGTCCTTGCCCCTTTTCTCATCCTATCCGTCCTCTTCTTTCACCTTCGTTCTTCAATCCCTTGCCCTTCGTCCCCCCTGCCTCCTCGAACCTCCTCGTCCTCATCCTCATTCGCCTCATTCCCCCCTTCACACTTCCTCCTGCTCGACCTCCTGCTTCTCCTCGTCATCATCAGCGTCATTATGAACATCATTATCGTCGTCCACATCATTGTCATCATCATCATCATCATCGTTGTCACCATCATCGTCATTCTAATCAACATCATCACCACCATCACCGGCACCAGCACCAGCACCATCATCATCATCATCATCATCATCATCATCATCATCATCAGCAGCAGCAGCAGCGCCATCATTAGCATCAGCATCATCAGCATCGTCGTTGTCATCACATTCACCATCTTCACCGCCTTCGTCAGCATCACCATCAGCAGCAGCAGCATCATCATCATCAGCAGCAGCAGCAGCATCATCACCCTCTTCATCATCATCATCATCATCATCATCATCATCATCATCAGCATCATCATCGTCAGCAGCATCAGCCCTATCCCTCCGGATCCTCGCCTCCCGCGCCCGCGGCAGAGGAGCTCATGGAGCTCTTCCGTGCCCGCCAGCGCCGCAAGTTCAGCCGAGGCGGCCCCCCCCGGGTTCGCGCGGCGCGCTCGCTCCGCGGGTCCCGGCGCCCTCGTCCAGGGGCCGCCGGGGAGGACGCGCAGGCGAAGGAGGAGGAGGGGGATGCGGAGGGGAAGCCGGGAGAGAGGCCAGAGGGCCACGAGAAGCGGGAACGGAGAAAGAGGAGGAGGAGGAGGAGGAGGAGGAGGAGGAGGACCAGGAGGAGGAGTAGGAGGAGGAGGAGGAGGAGGAGGAGGAGGAGGACCAGGAGGAGGAGGACCAGGAGGAGGAGGAGGAGGAGGAGGAGGAGCAGCAGCAGCAGCAGCAGCAGCAGCAGCAGCAGGGGAGGAGCAGGATGGGGATGGCCACTGGGGCGGGAGGAACAGGAAGGATGACCTGAGGCAGAGTAGGAGGAGGTGGAGGAGGAGGAGGAGGAGAAGGATGAGGGGGACAGAAGGAGGAACATCAGCAAGAGGGTGTAGGATGATGGGGAGGATGGGCAGGATGGACGATGACTACGAGCAGGAGGAGGATGAGGAGGAGCAGCAGCAGCAGCAGGAGGAGGGTAGGCGGCACGTGCGAGAGGGAGGGGGAGTAGCATGAGACGGCGTGAGCGTGAGGGACGAGCAGGAGGAGCCGGCGTGAGGGATTAGCATGAAGTCGGCCTGTCCCTCGACAGGAGAAGTCTTCAAAAATAGTCACAAATAGTCTGGGGACGATTTTTTAGCATCTGTTGATCATTGTGGGGGTATTGTTCTCGTGGTATGTCAAAGCTTTATGTCCGAAATCCCCCTGTAGGGGGCTTAGCTGCCTCGATACGCCCGTTTTGATACGCAACACGTGCCGTGTTCAAAACGTCCGTGTCCATACGTTGCGTGTTGGCTCAACGCATTGGCCCACGTTTTGGCGAACGTATCGCCTCAGACCTACGTGTTCAGTCTGCGTGTTGAGCTCCGTTGCAGTACGCTACGTGTTGCGTGTTGCGTATCGGGGCAGCTAAGGTAGGGGGGGCATGCCCGACCTACGGGTCGCACGAGGCGAGACCGCGAGGCACGAGCAGGAAGCTCCTGCCGCGGCCCCCTCACCCCGCCGTGCGCTCCTCCACGGCGGGCGCCCTCGCCTCGTCCCCGCGGCCTTCCCTTCCTCCCTCCCTTCCCTCCCCGTCCCTCGCTCGCTCGCCTCCCTCCCTTCCCTCCCCTTCCCTCGCTCACCCTTCCCCCCCCCCCCTTCCCTCCCTGCTCGCCCCTCTCCTGCGCCCCCCTCGCGCAGAGGGAAGGGTTGAGTCGGGCCTGTCCCTCTGCAGGGCGAATATTCCAAACTGTGCAAGCAATAGTACCGGGACGATGTTTGAGCATGCTTCTACTTTGTTTGAATATTCTTGGAGGCTTTTTGAGTTTTCGTCCAAAATCCCCCTGCAGGAGGACGTGCCCGACCTAGGGATGGGATGGCAGACACGGCGCGAGCGCACTCGGCTCGCCTTCCTCCCCTCCCTCCCCCTCCTCCCCCCCCTGCAGAACCCAGGGCAGGAGGCACGGGAGGGCGCACGGGACGCAGCTCTCCGCGAGTGCTACCCGCGAGGGCTTTATCCTCCGCGGGGGGGTGGCGGCCACCCCGCGCCGCGTGCCGACGCCCCGCCCTCCCCTCCGCCGCGCCCCGCACCCCTCCGCAGCCCTCGCGGCCGCGCGCTGCCGCGCCGGCCTGTCGCGAGGCCCGGCGCGACCGCGCGCGCGGCACTGCCCGCGGGGTGGCCTCGCGCTCGCCGGCAGACGAAGACAGTCGGGGCGCTGAAGAAGGAACCCTTTTCGTTGGGGACGGGCTCCGTGTTCCTTGGTTGTTTCACAGCTTGCCCTAGGTTTTTCTCAGGTTTTCGATGGGGAATCGAACCTTCACTGATGGGGAAAAAGGGGCCTCATTCCTTATTTGGGGTTCCTTAGGTCAACGCCCCGACTGTACAGTCGCAGGCGACTTCTCGCCACCGGCCCCCGAGCGGTCCACTAGAAGTCGGGCCGCTCGGGAAGAGGAGGGGAGGGCGGGACTGCACCCCCAGCAGGAAGTCTGGTCGTGCGCAGCATTGTTCGCAGACGGACGCCCCCCAGATATCGCCTCTCGGAAAGTACCTTCCCTGGTAAACGAGTACACTCCCTGGTGAACTGATACGCTCCCTGGCTGCAGGTTTTGAACTTCCCGAAGTTTTCGCAGAGTTGCTGAAACTTTCCAAGACTTCTTGTTCGAGCCTCTGGGGAGCTCCCGAGGAGCTCCTACGGTGCTTTCGAGCAAGCCCTGGGGAGCTCAGGAGGAGCTGTCTGGAAGCTTCTGAGGAGGACCAGGCGCGGAGAGGATAGGGATGGGAGGATAGGGATGACGAGCATTAGAGCGGATTGGAACGGGATGAACGCGGTTGACAAACCGCACGCAATTGGCCGACCGAAACCCTACCAGAAGTTTCGGGCAACCCCCTAGCCAGATTTGGCAACGCTGGGATATACAGCCTGGAAGGGCGGACAAGTCACATGAATGGTTTGTGGGAGCTCTGACGGTCGTCCTCGTCGTCGTCGCCGAGGACGACGAGAGGGGGGAGTGGGAACAGGAGGAACCTCCTTGTTCCGCCGCGCTTGTTCTTCCCAGACCTTTTGTCGTCGCCGTTGAAGATCGAGGATCGCGATTGGAGGCTGAAGAGTTCAGCTCCCAACCATTCTGTAGTTTCGAAGAGACAGCGCAACGCGTTCGCCCGCCTCCTCTCCCTCCTCTCTCCTTCCTATTCGTGCCTCTGCTCTCCGCCCAGTACAGCGGTTGGTGGCCCCATAGGGAGCTCCACCGAAGGTCCCAGTGGCGGAACTAGCATGCGGTGCTTGCGCCCAGTACAGCGCTTCGTGGCCTCATCGGAAGCTCTACCGAAGTTCCCAGTGGCGGAGCTAGAATGCTGTGCCTGCGCCCAGTACAGCGTTTCGTGGCCCCATGGGGAGCTCCAGCAAAGGTCCCAGTGGCGGAACTCGCATGCGGCTCCTGCGCCCAGTACTGCGTTTCGTGGCCCCACCAAGGGGGTTCAACCGAAGGTCCCAGTGGCGGAACTCGCATGCGGTTCCTGCTCCCAGTGCAGCGTTTCGTGGCCCCATAAGGGAGCTCCACCAAAGGTCCTAGCGGCGGAGCTCGCATACGGTTCTTGCGCCCAGTACTGCGTTTCGTTGCTTCATCGGGAGCTCTACCGAAGGTCCCAGTGTGGGAACGCGCATGCGGTTCCTGCGCCCAGTACAGCGTTTCGTGGCCCCATAAAGGGAGCTCAACCGAAGGTCCCAGTGTCGGAACTCGCATGCGGTTCCTGCGCCCAGTACAGCGTTTCATGGCCCCATCGGGAGCTCCACCGAAGGTCCCAGTGGCTGCACTCGCATACGGTTCCTGCGCCCAGTTCAGCGTTTCGTGGCCCCATAAGGGAGCTCCACCGAAGGTCCCAGTGTCGGAACTCGCATGCGGTTCTTGCGCCAAATACAGCGCCTCGTGGCCCCATCAGGGAGCTCCATCGAAGGTCCCAGTGTCGGAACTCGCATGCGGTTCCTGCGCCCACTACAGCGTTTCATGGCCCCATCGGGAGCTCCACCGAAGGTCCCAGTGGCGGAGCTAGAATTCGGTGCCTGCGCCCAGTACAGCGTTTCGTGGCCCCATGGGGAGCTCCAGCAAAGGTCCCAGTGGCGGAACTCGCATGCGGCTCCTGCGCCCAGTTTACAACGTTTCGTGGCTCCATCGGGAGTTCCACCGAAAGTCCTGCGCCCAGTACAGCGCTTCGTGGCAGCATCGGGAACTCCACTGAAGGCTCCAGTTGCACCGTCCGCATGCGTCACCCCCACCCACTACAGCGTTTCGTGGCCAACATCGGGAGCTGCACCGAAGGTCCCAGTGGCACCGCCCGCACGCGTCACCCCCACCCAGTGCTGCGCTTCGTGGCCTCCCAGGGAGCTCCTCCGAACGCCCCAGTGGCACCGCCCGCACGCGTCACCCCCACCCCCTGCAGCGCTGCGTGGTCACACAGGGAGCTCCACCGCAGGCCAGTGGCACCGCCCGCATGCGCCACCCCCACCCGGTGCCGCGCTGCGTGGCCCCATGGGGAGCTCCTCCGAAGGTCCCAGTGGCTGCACTCCGTGGCCCCTATAAGGAGCTCCACCGACGGCGCCAGTGGCTGTACTCGCATGCGTCTCTCCCGCCCAGTACAGCGTTTCCTGGCCGTACATGGGAACTCCACCGAAGGCCCCAGTGGCGGCCCCGCTCCATAGCGGCGCACCCCTCACACTTTTCGCGGCCCCGCAGTGCGCTCCGCCTGAAGCACCAGTGGCAGCGCCCACATGGCGGCCCTGCCCCACATCGGCACACCTTTCGCGTGCTTCATGGCCCTATGAGGGGATCCCCCGAGGGCGATACCCGAAACGACGGTACTCACAACTGCATATGTTAGGGTCTTGCGCCAGGATAATATGTTGACATATTCTGGCCGTCAGGGGGCGCTCTTTTCGCAGCGGTTGGATTCCCTGCGGAGGCCTGGTCAGAGGCGCCCAACAATTTACCCAGTGGCCGACAACGGTCCCAGGGACCATGGCATCAAACGTTGGGAATCAATCCCGACGTTTGCCACTACCACCAGCACTATTGTTTCCACGAGTACGATGCTTACCACTACAACTACAACAACTATTTCTAGTACAAGTAGCAGTAATGGTGTTATTATTACTACGACTCCTCCTTCGATTACGACTACTGTTACTACTACTACTACTACTACTACTACTACTACTACTACTACTACTACTACTACTACTACTACTACTACTACGACTACTACTACTACTACTACTACTACTACTATTACTACTACTACTACTACTACTACTACTGCTGCTGCTGCTGCTGCTGCTACTACTACTACTACTACTGTTGGCCCCATACTACTACTATACTACTACTACTACTACTACTACGACTACTACTACTACTACTACTACGACTACTACTACTACTACTACTACTACTACTACTAC